TCGTTGAAAAATGGCCCTTTGTAAGCCATAGCGTTCCTTAGAGTGTCTGTCATATTCGTAGACCATCGGGTTTTCACTTTTTAGAATTTCGCAGCAATACATGTTTTATACAGCAAGGTCGTCAGCCTTGCGTTCAACCCGAAACCTGGAAGACCAGGTCCCTGTATTTATGACTTCCAGTGACAGGGTGGTGGCCCAGTTATACTCCGAGACACCGGGTTCCGAGTTCACTTTCCTTCGCCTCCTACTCAGTATAGCGACCAGCTACGGGCTGGACGACCAAGAGGTCAAGAATTATCTCTTCTCCACGTCGTCCAGACCGGCTCTGGGGTTCACCCAACCTCTTATCCAATGGGTACCGAGGACTCTTTCCCCAGGGTTAACGCGGCCTAGGCGAGAAGCTGACCACTCGCCTCCATCTAGTGCCGAGGTCAAGAAAATGTGGCTATATACAACCACTCTCCCATAAGACTTCATGGTGTAGTGCTTAATTAGTTAAGCACAGGGACAACTTCACCTCGCCTACAACTCGCAGGGCTACGGTTGAGTAATTCTAACCCGCCTCCACACGGGAAGGTACAGTAATAATCGTATTACTTATTGGCCTTATAATGTGATTCTAACCTTAGTTTCGTCTGATTGTAGAGGTTTCGTAAATCTTAGTGAGAGAGACGATATGGTTCCTTCGTCAGACCTCTGCTTTTACAGATCACAATAACAGGGACAACGTCCCAAGTTGGAGTCAAACCCATGATCTCAGTGTTCAGGTGACTTGTGACCGTGAGAGCCTTAGACCACTCTGAGACTGAGATGTGACTGAGTAGATTAAGAAAATGGAATTCTTAATGTAATTTATGTAATTACTTAAAAGGACTCTTTAACACTAGGCTTGGGTGAACAACGTCTTCAGTTGTGAATAGGCAGTAGGATATAATTGATGTCTTTCTGTAACGTGGAATTACAAATAGGTTCATTTGTTATTCTGGGGAGGTACACGATAGAGTAATTGATTGAAGCACTATGCTACAAGACGGGAGGTCGAGGGTTCGATTCCCGAGTAGATCATCGGGTTTTTCAATTACCTAACCCTTTCAATCGCAGTATGGCGCTGAGGTCGACTCCGTCTCAAATAGAAATGAGTACGAGGAATCTTCCTTGGGGTAAAGGGCGGCCGGCGCGTAATGCTGACCTCACCGCCGCCTGTGAGCCGATTATCTAGGAAATGTGGGAACCTCGACGTCTCACAACCCTATGGGCCTCCATGGCCTATTATAAATATAGCTTTACTTTTTCAACTTTATATATATGTTTGCTATTTGTCTGTGTGAAAAATTTGTTTCGTTGCCAAGGCAACAGACTGCTATGAGATATAATTAGGAGTATCGATTGGTGGGACTTGAAGGAAGCGTCTTTTGAGGAGTGTGTCAGTATACTGCACAGAACCGTATTACAGTGTGTCTCACTACGGCTGCAATTGCTTCCTTTTTAAGAAGCTACACAGGTACGGAGATTAAAGTGAACAAGGGTTAAAATATGGGATTCGCTATGTTTTAGAACCCCAATTTACTATTTATTTCAAATATTGGATTAAGGGAGGAACACAGACTCAGGGTGTTTAAAAACAGGATGCTGAGATGAATATTTAGACCCAAGAGGGATGAAGTGATAGAAGACTGGTCAAAACTGCATAATGAGGAGCTACATAACTTGTGCTCTTTGATAAGAATAATTAGAATGATCAAGGCAGAGAGGATAAGATCGGCAGAGCATGTAGCACGCACAGAGACAAGGGTAATCCATGAAGATTTTGGTGGGAAAACAATACGGAAAAAGACTATTAGGAAGACTTGGATGTAGGTGGGAGGGTAATATTAAAATGGATCATAGAGATATAGGATGGGATAGTATGAACTTGATTAATCTCGCTCAGGATAGAGACCAGTGGAGGGCTCTTGTGAAGCCGGTGGTGAACCCTCGGGCTCATTGTGTGGCTGAGCGACTGGCGGCTTCTCAAGAAGGACTCAGTTCGAAGGAGTCAGTTTAGTTTACTGGATTTGCTGTTTTAGAACCCGGATTTTATATTTATTTCAAATAATGATTTGCTGTCTTTTAGCATCCTAGTTTAATGTTTATTTCATGCAAGATTTTAGCTGAAAAATCTGTAGAAAGGATATTTCTAGGGAAATATTAGCACAGAGAGGATGATAATTTTTAAACGTCTCTAAAACATCAGAGTGTGAAGGTGTGGGTTACATTTAACTCTCAGGATAGGGTCCAGTGGCGATCTCTTTGGAAAGCGATAATGAAATTTAACATTTTAGTCCATGCCGTTGTATTTCAGGTACTAACTGAGAAATTAAGTCATCGGAATACAGGAAACGCGTAGTAATTTGTCCGATATATTTCAATCCCTTACGTAATTTTCAAGGGAATATTCTTTTGTTTATGATACAGTTGAAGTTCATTCAAGTGATTCGTTTATGCAGGCCTGCATAAATTTGTACCAAAGAAATATATTTATTTATTTTAGAAAATTACCTTTATTAATTTGAGAGAGACTGGGAGGGACTGTGGACCTGTCGTCTGACAGATTACTGATGAAATGAAGCAAACTGGAGAATGTGAAATGTTTTAAATATTTGGGTAGCTTGTTAACAGATGATGGAAGGTGTACTAGTGAAATTAAATCCAGGATTGCCATGGCAAAAGCTGCATTTAGCAAGAAGAAGAATCTTTTTACAAGCAAATTGGACTTAAATTTGAGGAAGAAACTAGTGAAATGCTACATTTGGAGCATCGCTTTGTATGGGGCTGAAACATGGACACTTAGGGCAGTAGATC